CTAAAGCCTACGCCAGATGGCCGAGATATCACCACACCCAACTCCACCATGTATGATGAAAGTTCAGCAGGTCACGGCCCGCACACCGACCATCAAGCAATAGCGTACAAGTCGCCAATTATCCTCGATAGGAGAGCCGTTAATTGCTCTAAGTGTGCAGTAGCATAGTGACTATAATTTATTAAATAGTGAAACGAGTGTGTACGAGTAACCCAGTCCTGATATTGTCTCTGATGAGTAATCCACAACGGATTTCGAAACGTGGGGCGAATAAAACTCTTGTCCCATCGATCACATCTACTTCTTACCTCATATCTGTAGACACGCCCACTCGGGGTTGAGGCAACGAAGGGGGCATGGGAGGCGGGGTATATGTGACAGGAGACAAAAAAGTCAGACACACACAAGTCAAGGGTCTATTCAAGATTAACTGATCGAAAAGGCATAAAACCCGCTAATTGTGGAGAGAACGAGTGAGAAGTGAAGCTACACAGTAGCAGCAGCAGCGACAGCAATCAGTTGACTACGCATTACGCCGGGGAGGCTGTCCTACTTTGCGATTTTGCGAGGTTCTTCAGATCCTCAATGCACTGGCGTATGGTTTCCTTCTCCTGTGTTGGTGTGATACCAGCAATAACTGCGTTGGTGATCCAGTTGGCCATGTGCTGTTGCTGGAAGCGCCTACGCACATTTTCGCGTTCTACGTGGTAGTCCTGGCAAGAGAAAGAAAAAGAATAAGTGAGGCGGGCGTAGCGAAGGACGCGCTTCATGCAGACACCTAAGGATTAATTCGAATTCTTGAAAAACACCACAAAGGATACGTAAGCATGCAACGGTGCCGTAAACAGCTGAAACACAATCTTTAAAACCAGTCTGTGCAAATTAATTTTGCGGGAAAAACGAGACTAAGACCAATCCTCTTCCAAGTACCTGCATTAAACATTGATTACCACGGGTAGCTATATCCACGAGGGTTTATTCCGCACACACAGAAAGGACAGCAGCATAACTTGAAAATTATGCGGATAACACTGCTAGTCGATCGATCTCCAAGGCATCTTCACACTGTAAACAAAGGTTTGGGGCTCCAACCGCCCTGGATTAATATATTCGCACCGCTGCGCATCTCGTAGCCGGATTTCACCGTTAGAGCTGACAACACTTTAACCTCAGAGTCTGGTTTGAAATCACAGAATTCCATATAGCAACGGGCCGACCACGCCACTTCAACTACCTGTGATGCTTACAACTTAAATACAGAGAATATTGGATGGGATATTTGAAACAATAGTCGTGAAACCAGTGTCAACGTACATTTTTCACATGCACGACGCTCCGGGACATGTGTTACTTACTTGGCGTATACCAAGAAGCAGTGAAAAATATCATACTACTAAAGTACACATTGTAGGCGACAAGAAAGAATACCATTCAAAAGCCGACTGAAATAACTCGGGATTATGCAGCACGAAAATCGGTATTAAAATTTTATCTTGGTAATCCCTTTTAGTCTAAAGCACATTTCCCAATTCTAGTTAACACGTTACGCCTGATATCGACCACACATACGGCAGGTGCAAGTTGTGCTGATCTGCAGAAAAACTTTAGTTGGTAGTATAAAGTCTAGGTGGCGGCTGAAGACATAGCAAAACTCCAGGGAGACACGTCTGATGGCTTGCAAAATGATGCAATGGGTTAACGTGAAAAGTGCATGCTGGTCAAGATTTCGCACTTGTTGCAGCAAACTACAAAAGAAGTAATATAAACCATCTATTACAACACAATCTAATTAACAAGGTTCCTACTAAACTGTCGACTGAACCACAGATAGAACTTCAAGAAGGTTGACGCTACCGTCTAGCGAATTCCTGGCCTACAATTCCCACCGTTTTTTGACACACGCGACTATCTAATCATTATGACCTCCAGCGCTGTATTCATAGAAGCACGAGTCCTTGAAGGCAGGTTGCAAAACTCATCCCTTGTAAAAGTGATGGGCTAAAAGCAGTCCTGCCAAAAAACCAAGCCTTTCCATCGGTTTGCTTCTGTTGGCACTCAAAAAGACCCAGCCACATTAAAAGTATTGAATCTTGGGGTGTTGCTGAAAGCATATATGTCGTACCAAGCGTCTGGTGACCATCTTGTGCACGCGCTGCAGACGCTCCCGGTAGGCAGCCTCCAGTTGCAGATCCAGATTCTCCTTCTTCGCCTGGAAGAGGGTT